GTCACTGATGAGACTCCTGTGAAATGCTCCATCTCCATTTTTAATTGTGCCTTCAGAAAAGAAAAGAAATTATAAAACTGTTTCAAAACTCCATTTTAGCTACATTTTTTGTTGGTATTTAAAACAAGAAACATCAGCAGTTTCCTTCCTTCTCCCTGCCTTCTCATCTCAATAGGAACACTTGAGATAAACACGTGTGACAGACTCAGGTTATATTAGCTTTCATCCAGGTGCTGATTTTGGCAAGGTTTTGCCAAATCTCTTAAAGTTTCGAATATGACTATTGCATATGACAGCCCCAACAGCATATACAGACTTAATGATCAAGTGGAGGAAATTAGTGTTTATTAATGCTTGGCTTATTTTTGAACTCAAAAATAACTGGCAGTGAGGTCTAAAAAAGTTTTAAATTATAAGCTATGAATTCCAAGTGGTCTTATGGGAATTAACTAATCACACAGGTTGCTATTTCTTTTGATCCCAGTATATTGCAGTAGAAGCAGCAAAAGAGATTTCTATGACAGTTTAGTAAGGTTTAGTGATTGCAAAGCATGCAATTTCTGAGACACCTATAACATTGTTTTCAAAGACGCCAGATCATAGTGGGGACATGAAATAAACTAAATGATCCAATCATATTTTTATTGTTCCTCACAGAGGTAATTTTTTTTTGCAAATAGAAGTCTGTTTTTCATTATTCTTAAGAAGGTGCCAAGCAACTTCCTCTTGACTTTACAGTGTCGGAGTGATGTTTCCAGACAGAATCGACATTGGAGGGAAGAAGAGGGGGCACACAGAGGTCTTGTGTGTCCTAACAGCAACACCAGGACTGTTTCAACTGACTCATCCAATATGTGCAGAGGATGTGACAGCATGCATTTCCTGGTACATCTGCTATGTTCTTCTGCTCACGCAGAAGGGAGGAAGGAGATTCTGGCCCCGGCGTGTAACCCCTGTTGGGTTGTTTCTTGGACAAGCGCAGCCTCATATGGCATGAACTCAGGGACCAAAACTTGGTTCAGCTTTCAGACATCAACACAGATACTGTCAGAGCAGAGTGAGCACTATCCTTTTCCACATGAAAAATGAAAAAATGTTGGAGCAAGAGATATTTTGGCATTTTAACTGGAGCCTCCATAAAGTATTCCACCCTAAATTAAAATATTATACCCTTACAGTGATTATACTTAATTTATTTTTAACAATGTTTCAGGCCTGTACTGTTTTTTCCCTACTGCCTAAGGACAGCTTAATAATGCATCAAGATTTGGATCGGTTTTTTCACTTTGGTAAGACTGACCTAGTTTCCTCCATAACCCCCATCCCCTGAAGAACGAAACTTTTAAATAAAATATCCTCTATGAAAATGTAAAAGCCAACTTTCATAGTATTTCTTCCACATGTTCTGAAATTAAAACTGTCTCATCTCCTCAGGTTGTTAAATGAGAATGAGTTTCATTTACAGGTTTGAGCTTTTTAATGGGTTAACTTCCCTGCTGCAGATTGGCAACATCCATGCAGTGTTACTTCATGGAAAGGAATTTTTACGACAATTGTGAAAATGATACAGATGTTTGGGTTTTGAAAATAGACTCTAACCGTTTTCCTGATGCAAACATGTAACTGCTCACAGGCTAATGAAAGCTTATCATGTAAAAATATTCAGAATGCCAGCAACCTTGAATGACCACATTCTGTCAGATATAAATAGCTCATTAATACAGACTAGTTGTCACAAAGCAGCTTTTACTATGAGTGTCCAAATTCAGTAGCTGCAGAAAATAGCTTATGTAATATAGACTTTTTGGTACTTCCAGTAAGACCTATAACATAGCACATGCCTTCCCCTCAAAGGTACTTTTCAACCATTTCAACCTCACTGTGCTCACAGACATCCATATCTTGTTCTTTTGACATTGACAAAAGACGACCTTTTGTCAGGTTGCTCTCAGGGACAGATGAAGATGATGTACAGTATACAGCGTGAACATGGGTGCAGGACTGCCTAACTCTACTTCTGTCGGGATTAATCAAACCCATAACAAAATAGTCCTTTGTGATTCATTTGCTCAAGCAATCTCATTGAAGAATCTAAGTTTATCGTAACCTTGAAGTAGCAGTGTATGTAGGTGGCATTCATGGTGTTCTTCCACAGCCAGTGGTTTTCTGAGGTTGTCAATGTCCTCTGCAAGGACTGTGATTTAAAAAGACAGTCTTGGCAAATTGTCTTCAGTCATCCGGAATAGTCCCTTCCTCATTTTTTTTAATTAACTACCAAAGATAAAAGTAGCTATTAACACAATGAAAAACAGTATTAACAAATATTTTTTTATTCAACTTGGTAGATAGAAAAGAAAAATCAACCTGCTTTCAACTTGCCCCATGGAACTACTGTCTTCTGGGCTATGGTGTGTGACCGTGTTTAGGGTTTAGCTAGAGGCTGTAGCTCTGGTGGGGGAAATACGCTTTTATGATGTATCTGTGCTTTGCTGAGCATGCTAATCACATGAGAGAATTTAAAAAGCAGAACACAGACACAAAACCAGAAATTCCGCTTGATATACAAGAGATGCAAAACTAAAGATAAACACACTGTCATTAGAGATTTTCCGTTTTCATTGAGCTGTCACAGGTTTGTGGCTGAATGGAAGTGCTTCACTGCATTGGTTTTGAACTTGAGTAAGGTTACAGAGGTAAAATTAATTATTAAAGAGGAAGGGTGGTCTGGTAAGCTGCATACCTCCACACTACTTACATATGCTTTTGGTTGTGTTTGACTTGTTTTCCTTCTTTTATATGTTCATCTGTTCACGTGTCATCTTAAATGGACAATTAGGTGGGTTTGCAGGGTTTTTTTGTAGAAAAGCAAATGCTGTTTGAAATCTCGACAACCTTGTCATAAAGGGTGTAGATATCCACAATGAGACAAAGACCTCCAAATACTTTCAGTGGAGAAGAAGGAAAGATTACCAAAAGAGACGAAAAAGACCAAATTACATCCAACAGTTATAACTTGAAATTGGACAAATTTATGTTAGAAATAATCCATTTTTCATGGAAATGCTGTTAACCAGCTGACCAATTTCCTACACAAGCTGGAGGCTTGAAATTCACAGACCTTTCTAAAGGCTCTGTAGTTCAACCAAAAAATATAATCAGTGCAGAAATTACCAATGAGGTTCCATATGTACAAGAGCTTAAGGGTGACCAGAGTCCCTCCTGATCTTTGTAGTGGTTAAAACATCTTTGCCCACTGATGTGGTAGAAGTATGATCCAAATTGAGTCCTGAAGTACAACTCAGCGAGGGGTCTGTCCAAGCATACCAACTAATGCATTCCCCTCCACAGACATACATGTATTGAATTAAGAATGGAAAATACAGGTAAGAGGCTGCAGGGAAGGGAAAAATGCCAAACAGAATATGAAGAGCTAAAAATGATGAAAACAAAGTGTATGGGGGGGAAGACACAACTGGTTTGTGCTGCAGGTGGAAGTTTGCCCTCAGAAACAAGGCGTTCACAGGCACTGCAGTGGAGGTCAGCAGCTCTTCAGTGTACCTTTGCACTGTAACTCCTCCCTGTTACAAGAGCAGGCATCCTCCTGCCCCGAGGACTGGACCACACACCCCAAATGAGATGGCGTGTGGGTCAGAAGGATGCTGAAGGTATGAGAATCAGCTGCAGATTTTGGGAGGAGGGGAGGAGAGAGGCCAGCAGCTATGCTGAATAAAGCACATACACACACATGAGCTCTTCTCACCGTGGTAAAAGACTGATTGAGATATTCCTTTCCACTTGACATCTTAGAAGGGAGAAATATTTACTTCATCCTTTCCAACATAGGAATGCAATTAGGAAGGCAGGGATTCGGTGTAGTTGATGTCAGAAGCATCATACTGAGGTGTAAGTAAATAACAATTTCTCTTCTATAGCTTAGCCTCAGTTCTGCAAGGATGCACACACGTATACTGTTCCATTGGCATGACTACATAAATGCAGTGAATCCAATTGTATCTTCCTTGCACTGGTTATTCTCACACTAACTGTCCCCTCTGTACTGTCTGTCAGGCTTCTGTCTTCCCTTCCTTGAAGGACTTCTTCCAAAAACAGATAAACAATTCCTTTCCGCATTGAAACAACAAAAAAATACGGTAGACAAACTAAAGAAACTAAACTTAGATGATGCCAATATATGTGTTAAACATCACTTATCAATGTCTTTGCAGGTTGCTTCTTCATTCCACCCTTTAACCTGCTTACCTTTGGCACGCACTTAGGTTGTGATTTCTTGAAGGAAGACTTTATGTCTTTTTATATATTATCGTACTGCAAGCACTGTGGAAACACAGCTGATTACTACTTCTTACATATGTTATCTCATGTGCTAAGAACCCCCCAACATTTTCAGAAAGGTTACTTTCTCACTTAGAAATCTCAGAGAAGTTTATCTGGGCCTGCTACTTCACAGGTCTAAATTGCAAGGTACTCTGTCTTGGGTTTTGTTTATGGGGTTTTTTGAACACTTGTTCATTGCTGTAAAATGATTTCTGCCTCACACCTCTTCCCTTCTGGTGTTTAGACCGAGTTGTCCTTAAGTCTGTTGAGCATCATTATTGTAGGTACAGTTGCACTTAGAATTACATATTTCATCAAGGGAGGAAGTACTGAATACCTCTTACAGAAGTTAATGGGACAAAATCTGTTTAATTAAATTGTAACTTGTAGAATTCAGCAGAAAAGATGCTGCATCATTCAGGTCATAAACAGAATGCTGCTTCTAGCCACCTTTATAAAACAGGCTGCTAACTGCACTGTTATTCCTGGACCTCCTCCTAAAGCTTTGCATTGACTTAAATAGGCCAGCCCAGTATGTGCTGCTTTGTGATGACTCCGTATGGAGTAATTTCTGTTAAGGAGCTAGCTCCTAAAATACCTGTAAGGCAGCCTGTGCTTCAGTAATGCTAAACCAGCTGCTTTGCCTCCCAACTGAATGCGTGGGGATGAGGACCATCGTCATAACGGTAATACCTGCTGCATCTGACTCACCAGAGCTCCTGCTGGGAGAAGTAATAAAATGTACATTTCTCTATGCCAGCAAGAGCTGCCACAGTACAAGGAGTACACTTCCAAGTTCAGATTTTCTAGATGTAATTTTCCTTCTCACTCTTTTTGTATTTTTTGAGTACTATGGGAGAATAACTTTCGATAATGGTGTCTGAGAAGACTACCTGCAGAAGCTGGAAAAATCTGAGGTCTATATTTGTGCTTTCAGGAGTATTTCTTGATGGGAGCGTTGTATTCTTTGCACTACAGGAAAGAGAAAACAAAGCCGAGTCGTCTAGCTCCACAGCACAAATGAGACCTGTGTGAACAAACCCCTGTCTGCAGCACACTTTTACCCGATGAACATTCAGCGTACGGACATTTACAATCTTGGTAGAAATCGCTGTGGGGGAAAATTACATGAAACATTACCATTCACCTTACAGCAGCAGCTTTGCGTCTTGAAACATTGACATTTCACCCGTAATTTAATCTGTATTATGAATGAATTGTGGAAACTCTTTTCCCTAGGCATTAGACCATCAGACTATGTATGGAGTCTGTCAGCAAATAATATTACTAAACACTCATGTAGTCTTTCAGACACTCTGAAAAGAAATAGGTGTACATACAAAAATAGATATGTAACTCTTTTTCAAATAAGTAACATATAGTAAAGGTCTAGATACTGTCCTGGGCAATCTGCTTGAGCAACGATGTTGGATGAGATGACCTCCAGAGGTCCCTTCCAACCTCAACCAGTCTGTGATTCAGTGATATGTTAATTGTCTGTCTTCAACTCATTCGTATTACACAGTGAGTTCTTTCAGAATGATTCATCTGTCATGGCCACAAAGGTCACTGTTTTAAAAGACTTCTTTAGTAAATACCCCAAAGGAGCTTTTCAAATACTTATAATTAAATTCTGCACCTTTGTCATCTTCTGTACTGAGTGATACTTTGTCCAAATAAGGAAATCTACAGAAGATCTTGTAAGGACGTCTTAAGGATGACATGGTTAGATTCAGGAGAATCTCTGTATGTTAAAAATGTAATCAGATGTACAGGTAGTTGTAGGCACTGAAAAGAAAGATTTTATAAAACTATTTCAATTACTTGTCATGTAGAATGGATTGAACAAAAAGCTCTATTCCACTCCAGGAGGATTTAAATGCCACCTTATTTAGTTTGAAAACAAAGAGCATTTTCAGTTTATCTGCTGTGTGTCCATAGAAGAGGCAGCAGAATGGGTTCGTTGTGCACAAATCATGGCTAAGGTGGTACTGAGAACAGCATGGATAAAGAGGTTAGTGTGGCTACAGGCAAACAATGATTATTTATGCACTTCAGTGTGCTTTCTGTGCATTGCTAGGATGAGCAATGATTGGATCTGAACCCTACAAAGAGTTTAGGCGACTTGGAACAGGTACAGTTAATCTGTGTTTGGTTGTTAAACTGACTTAATAAGAAGAAAGTCATATAGATGTATACTTTATCTTTCTTAAATTACATTAAACATTATGTAACAGTCAAATAGGAGAATTAGATTTACAAATGCCTCAAGCAGATATTCAAGACCGGTCACATCTGTTGCTTCTAGAGAGTGAGATTTGACATGCAAGGCTTCTTTTCCTAAGAACTGTGTTATAGATACCATGATTACTGATAACTGCTGAACACCATTTTAAATCCATTATCACTGAGAATTTACAAATTAACACAAGGATTATATGACATTATTGATCACATTTTTTGCAAGTTTTTGAGTCAATTGATTCCTTTTTAACATATTAGTTTAATCACACACTAGTGGTTTGTTCTTTCACCAGTGTATAAATTAATTACCAAGATATTGGATGTTATGAAGCCTACCAGCTACATACCGGTAGGATCCAGACAATATGGAATTACATGGCATCAAATCTAACCAATAATCATGTGAATGTATCATTATCGGCTCACCTTTGTGATATTCTACCTTAGTAATGAATATTTTAAAGAACTTCTTATTAAACTGTTCCTATATCTGAAATAGTGACCTGTTTTCAAAACAATTTAATGTCATAATAGTTCAATAATCAAATATATGCTTTTAGACATTATAGTCAGACACAACATTTATAGCTGTGCAAGTAAAAATGATACATACAATCAGGTCTCATGCATTAAGATTAAGGGGAACCTGCAGATACAGCATTATCAGTGGTTCAATACAGTATGGGTTTTGAAGTAACACATATTTAATGATTCATTACTGCAATTACACAGTATTTTTCTTATATAATGTATTAGTTGTTGTTATAGAATGTCCTACGACATAACACCATAAACATTGAACTGATCTGTGCAGGATAATGCTGTGTATGTAGACTCAACCCATTTTTATGATGGCATCATCCCGTACAAACAGACAGAACAAACCACAGATCATTTAGAGGCTATGTAAGAGCTTTCTTTTTCCATAATTTTAAAATTGAGGGTAAAATCATGGCCTCTGCTGAGTTCAATGTCAATTTTACCAATGGAAGCAAGATTTTATTTCAGACATAGAAAGGAGGAAACTTTTTGGCCAACTCCTCTTGTCTCAGTTTTCTTCACTGGTCCCAGTTTTTCTGAAGTAAGCCCTAGAAGGTCTTATGTGCTGACGATATACAAGACAAATAAGCTTTTTTGCTGTGCTTTGAAAGTGTTTAGCATATTTTAGATCTCTAAAGTGGATTGTATTTATTATCTCCTTTCTTTTTTTTGCCTTTCCCTTGTGTATGATATCCCTCAAAAAAGGTTTGGGGATCAGTCACCCCCAGCATTTCGCTACTCCAGAGTGTTTGATTACCACTGTGTCTCTCCACTGAGATCAGAAATGAGCCACACATCTTAATTCCACCTACATGTTTGTAGCAATATGTTAGTGTGTAGGTTTTATAATAAGAGGCTTAGTAGGGAGAGAGACATCTTTATGATACTGTATAACAAGTTGTCAGGACAGAGGCATGGGGAAGTTTTGCCTATCAATGGGACAAGCCATTCTTTATAGGTCAATGAAGTCCAGGATCTGACACCTGCTCTGCCAAAGTAACATTTACATTACCAAAGAGGGAAGTTTTGGCACTCCTGCTAAAGTATCACCAAATCAGTGAAAAGTAAATATATTTTGGGAAGTACAATTGAATCTGCACTCCTCAAGGACCCTAAGAAAGAGATTGCTGTAAAAGCTAATATACTTTACAAGCAAAGGTTCTCTCTGAGGAATGCAACCTGAAACATAAAGCACATGAAAAGACAAAATTCCTGATGAAGTAGGTCAAGAAAATGCCCAGAGTAAATCAGTGGCATATAAGAACTTTTTTTTAGGTTTGGTTGTTCTATAAGAAAACTAAATAAAATGTTTAAGGTTTTTGCATTCAACTTTGTCTTTCAAAAAATATTTTCATATGTTGTATATAAATTTTTTTTTAAGTTTGCTTTCAAAATAACTGGCTAGTATCAAGGCATTTTTGATATTTTTCATCTCAGAGTGTGACAAATCTAGAGAACAAAGGCAGTGAGAGAACCTTTTGCTTTCTCCTTACTGAAGATGTTTAAAAGGGAGAGTTAAGGACCAGAGAAAGTTGACCAAGAGTGTATACCAGAAAAGAACAACAAACAGAAAGTTGTACATATTGACAATGCTAATTTTATGCCATTTAAATTACAATTCCTTTCTAAAGGATTATCTTACCCATTGGCCTCATCTGACCTACCAGACTGCCAACTCTTTTCACCATTCCTAGCTATGGAAACCAGTACTGTGACATTTCTCCAAAATTTAACTTTCACTTCCATTCTGCAGCACCTGTATGCTGAGCAATACATATTTTTTAACATCAGTCTCCTAAATCTTTAGTTTATCGGAAATTTCAGAGGACAAAGAAGCCATTGTTGGAGGCTATGACAAATCAGTTCGGGTCATTTGCATTCAGATCAGTGCCTGGAGACACCAATTTTTGATAACATAGAACCTAACTGTCCTGGTTTTGGGAAATGACATGCCAGTGATGGGAAAGGAATTGTGTTGGAAAATGTGCAGTTAAGTTTGCAAAGTGTCATGAGAAACATAGATTGATGTTCTCTGAAAACCTAAGCATGCACAAGTTTAGCAGACACTTGACTATGTAATTGCATGAGTGCAGCATTAATGAAACATAGTCTTATGAGGGAATGGGACTGTCCTGTCTAGGTTAATATAAAGTCCTTGTTTTACTTCTATAATTAACTTCATTTTATTTTCATGAATATTTTAGGTGTATCAATACATGCATGAAACCATAACTGTTAATGGCTGCCCCGAATTCCGAGCCAGGGCCACTGCAAAGGTAGGATACGTGCAACTGTTGAAATACGTGTTACCAAAGTGACCTAGTAATTGACTGTGCGCGTGTGTGTTTCAGGTATTCGTGTGTACACTGTAAGAAAATTTAGACATCAGTGGCAGCCCAGAGTCTAGAACCAGTGCTACTTCCCAGGTAACAATCATAATGGAAAATTTCAACCTTTATGCTGCTTCTGTAGCTTAAGAAAAGAGAATGATTTTATGGAAATTGATGCTTTTTGAAAAGTTGCTTTGCAAAAGCAAATCTACTGGTTCATTCTGTAGAAGTCTGCCTGCAGCAACCAATATTTTAATAGACTGTTTTCCCATACAGCTCATCCAGAGAGGACACAATGTTTTGGGAGATAGAAACTAAACAGTCAAAACTCCACTTTAACTAGTGGGAACTATAGGTACTGAGCAAGCGGTAAGGATGAACAGTGACAAAAATGGCCTGATCAAGAGACTCCACAGCCAAATGCAAGCCCATTTTTTTTCTGATGCATTACCTGTTTTAATAAAACATATTGTCTCTTTGCCCATGTGGACCTGCCTTTCTCATATCCTTAGACCATGACAGCTACATTACTGCTGCTACTAAAATGATGATTTTCTAAGAGAATTCACACAACCATGAAAGAACCCATTCTGTGTGCCAGTATGAAATATGCTCTGTATTTTCATAATATGCACAAAGATAGATGCTTCCAAACAGAGAGGTCCACCATGGCTTTCTTTTTCCCATTACCATTTTGTACTCAACACTGTCTTCTGGGTGGTATAGCAGGTACTATGCAAAACAGGTAAACCTGCAAAAGCCATAAATCTTTTTTAGAAATATTTCTTTATGGTCCCACTCCTATGAAGTTAGTGACAAAACTCCCTGAAATGTTAATGGAACTAAGATCTTACCATATGTATTTGTGTTAAGAGGCTTTCATTTACAGCTGTATCAGATGATGAAGGTTGGGAGTGTGTTACAAAATTATGTCTACAATATTTTAGAGAAGCAAGCTGGATAGTAGCCAGCAAATAACCTAATATGCACTAAATTGCAGTGTATTTTCCTTACTAAGTAGAACGTTCCATTCTGTAGGCTGTTCTTCTGATTTTCACCTTCTTCTAATTGAAACTTAATGGACAATGTAAATTTGTAAGGTCTATGCTACTTTAAGGAGAAATGTCTATATGAGATCCTGATTTATCTACACTGCAGGTAAAAACATAGAAATTTTGCTGTAGTTAATGGAGAGAAATACAATTAGTGTTTGCCATTCTCATTTCTTATTCATATAGAACAGCAGGGTTACAGAGCAATGTTTCAATATCGCAATATTTCCTGGTTATTTCTGGGCTGTCTGGATTGCATTCTCCTAGTGCATTCATGTCTGACATACATAAAATGTATGCATGATGACAAGGTCTGCATGTGCAAAAACATGTAACTGAGAATGATCCATTATTCCACATCATCCACTAGCTTCTATTAAGCATAAGCATTATTAGAATGCTCAAAAAAACATTACCGTAATGCAGAATTGTTTGAGCAATTTGGACTACAAACACACGTTGAAAAGGATAAAAGATTTTCTTAAATGTTCCTTTAATGATTTACTGAGATCTATAAGTAGGAAAATACTTGTAATGACAAATGAAATATAAGATGTAATATTTTTCTGGATGCAAGCTTTACAGTTTGTTACATGGGTTGGTTTTTTTGCCAGAGTAAGATTAACAGTCTGGGATTTTTCTAATTTATTTATAAATCCATTGTCTTAAAATTAAACTTTTAAATAAAGTTTTGATCCAATTATATTGTAAAAACTCATATTCCTGTTCCAGGAGTTATTTAGTTTGTGCGATTTCATGAAGATTATACATTCAACTTTTTAAAATAAGAATATCCTTTTAGGTTTTTTCTGTGCCCAAAGAATAAAATAACCAATTCCATACCTCCAAAAGCAGAGCAGACAGCTAACAATTCAATTGATCCACTTTATTTCAACTAGGAATGCAGTAGAGATCACAGTGTCTTATCCCAGAGTAATAAATTTTCTCCCTGTGAAAAGGCAAAGAAGAAATGCGCTAGTGATCATAAGTGTTCACCACCACGCAGTCAGGCTTCCCGGTGCCTACTTCTGGCTCTGCTGCTAACTTTCTGCGTTATCTTTGACAAGTCACCTAAACTCTCTATTCCTCTGCTTATTCCTTTATTTCAAAAGCATTGGCATGGAACTTAGTTTTTTTAAGATGCTTTCAGACGATCAGAAAAAATCAGAGTAAGATACGGACATGTTTTCACAGGAATAGATTTTTCCTGCAAATGAACAACAGAGTGTATGTCAGTGTTCTCCCTACATAGCCAAATCACTTGTCTTTTTCTTCCAGGCAACAGTTGCTGCTTTTGCTGCAAGCGAAGGCCATTCACACCCGCGAGTTGTGGAGCTGCCAAAGACTGATGAAGGCCTGGGCTTTAATGTCATGGGAGGAAAGGAACAGAATTCACCTATTTATATTTCTCGCATCATTCCTGGAGGAGTGGCGGAAAGGCATGGAGGGCTCAAACGGGGCGACCAGCTGCTTTCGGTTAATGGAGTGGTATGTGGAAATTTGATAGAGCTTTCATTTTCATCTGGATTTTCATTTTTCACAGCTGTTCTAATACCGTGATTTAAAATGCAGCCGCATAAAACAAAAAGAATTAGCTCTGTGAGAGACCTTCAGTCTGCATTTGTGGTGCAGTGAGGCAAAGCTGCATCGACAACTTTGTGCTACTACAACTTCTGTTGTAATGAAGGGTGCTTGAAGAGCTTCATTTTAAATCCATACCACATGCTTAATTTCCAGGGAAGCTATGTCTTTCTTAATTGATAATTCTGCAAATTTGTTTTGCAGTAGAAGTGTAATAACAGACTTTGTCGTGCTTACACTCGTAGCCTCTGAGGTGCACAGCCCTTTCCAAGCACAGTGATGCCTCAGTGGCACGCATGTAGTCTTGTGACCTTCAGAGCATTTGAACACATAAATGAAATTTGGTAAGCACATTTGGAGATGATTTGCAATGGAAGGTACATTCCAGATTTGTTTCAGTGACGTGACATTCATCCATCTATGATATATTTGTCAGAGAAATCAGCTGTACAAATGTACACATACAGGGAGCATGTATTTTCAGTAAAAAGTACATTTTTGACATAGTCGGTTTTCACGTAACTCAATACTTCAGGGTGGAGTGTTTTGCGGTACTTTCACTGTGACTGTCAGTATGGAAGTAAAAATTAAAGGGCTGTTGGAATAGAGAGGAAAAATAAGGCTCCAACTACATGACATGCCTTTCCTTTTGCTTTTTGTTCCCTTTTACAAGGGAATGTAAAGTACTGAAAAGGTAAGCGTACTCATTCATATAACCCTACACTTCTTTTAATGAAAACATAATCCTTTTTCATGCAAAACCTCCATCTAAACCTCGTATTTAAATGCACCAAAGGCATGTAGAAGCAATTCCTGAATCCAGTCATAAATATAGGACTACCCAACTTAAATTTCCTCTTTGTTGCAAGCCCATAAAGAATGAAAAAAATGCTGTTTTCTGTATGCTTTCATGTTGTCATCTGTCTCCCTCAACAATAGCTATTCCCCTTCTCTGAAACAAAATATCAGTGCAACACTTCAGACAGACTTTTTACCATTTCTTCCATCAACCATCATGTTCTCAAAAGAAAAATAATAGGTCTGGAAGCTTGCTTGCCCCAGTACACAGTAAGAAAGAAAAGATAACAGAACAAAAAAAAAAAAAGAAAGCTCACTGAAAAGATCATTTAGTCTCAGGGAAAAAGAAACCAACTGAACATTTAATAAGTAGATTGGCTGAACTTCACCGATTTGAAGTAGATCAAATAGTTTTCTTGTTGTTCATCACTTCTTTCAACAGGTGAATAAAAGGCAGATGAAAAGAGTTTATATTCACTAATTGATGGATGGGTCTTGAACAATCGTTTTACTGTCAGCAGTGTCTAGGCAAGTACCATGGAGGAAAGTGGTGAACCTTCAGATGTCAAGATATATTGAATTTGACTCTGTTGCCACCTGCATTTCATGATACTCTGTTCAAAAAATTTCATGAATGTGCTCTAGAATAAGCTAATGTAGCAAAAAACCACGATACAAAATTCCCAATTGCATGTAGGCACCGCAAAAGTTGATTCAGAGATGCAACAGAAATGTTTTTGTTTTCAGAGTCTAAACAACAGAATTTGAAGTTTGAATTGCTGTTGCATACTTGAAATAATGCCTAAGAGCAACTGTTCATAAAACAATCTTTGGCTGCATTAAGCCCATACAATATAATTCATAAAAAGGCAAAAATTATAGAAGTGGTAATTTGTTTGCAGACAGCTTGAGACAGGAGGGAAAAGGTCTAAATTTAACATTGTTCAGTGGGACTAGTTCACTCTGTGCTTCTCTCAATTTAGCTGGAGAAAAGCAAATAATACACAGTATGTATAATACAACAGACGGCTCAGCAGTGGAACATGAAATGAAAATGAAATATCTGTAACTTGTTTGTGCTCAGAAGTTGGTAGTTATCCAACTTCATAATTATCAACATAAAATTAGATCTGTGTGTTCAGAATCCAGATTCGTTATCCCAGCATGACTGGGATGACTGTTCCTTGAGCTGTTTCACCGGATGTTAAAAAAAGTATTTTCTCATTAGGCTGGGGGTTTTGTTACATAGTTTTGTCCCACACCCCCTAAAAGTAAAGGAAATTGAAAACCGTAAGCCCTGCAGATGGCTCAGCAAAGGCACTTGCAGGTGGCTGTTCATATCTGGCAAAGATTCTGCATTTGTCAGATACCTGGTGTGAGTCAGATAACAGAGATGCAAAATAAGTTTATAATGGCTAATTTCTCACCCAGGCATTTGCTTACAGATAGCTAATAGAAATAGTCTTCTCAGTTTCTCACCTTGTGGGGTATCATCAAGCAGATTCTCTTTTCTGTCTGCAAAAGAGTGGGATTTTTTTCTATTTATGACAAGTCTATGAGCCTAGATACAGTAATGGTTAGTGTTTCCCCACACCATATCTGCAGTTCTTTAAACTGTTCTTGTCTCTAAGGTGTTTTGCATCTCTTTTTTTGATACAATCTGCCAATGCAATAAGGGAAATACAGACGTAAGTATATATAAATATACATAATCAAAAATTACATGTTAAATAAAGATAAAAATTCCAAAACAAATTTATTAAATCCCATGTTTGGTGGGCAGTTCTAAAGTAACATGAGTGTCAGATCCTCGCAATGTCCCCAACCAGTGTAATCAAGTCAGCAAAATCCCTTGTGCGCGTGTGACCGATACCAGCAGGAGTCATTCGCCAGCACAGCCTCAGACATTTGCAGAGGCAAAAGAAATCAAACAGCAAAACAACTTTCTTTGCTGGTAAAAGGTCTTTTCCCTACTCCAAGGGGCTCTTTTATTTAAGTTGTGCAGCTACTGCCAGCGCAGGTAAAGCATTTGCAATGCCTTGGAAATATGACTGCAAGCAGCAATGAAGGTGTTAAGAGCAAGTGTAGCAATCATAATAGCAGCTGAAGACTTTAAGACCTGAGTTAGGTACATTGGGAGAGTAGGACTGGTATTAAGCAGCACTCTTTTCCTTTGCCGTTGTTATTTTCCCCTTTGGTTGTGGTTCACAGCTTTAGGCTTAATCTGTATCATTGCTATTCAAATCAATGGGAGTTTTCCATTGACCTGGATAGAAACACTGGCTACAAACTGGAAGAACAAGGCCAGAGGCAAATGTGAAAGGAAACAGGCGATCATGAATTAAATGCAGGTTACTAAGTTGTATGAAGTACACCATTTTGTTATTCCCCTAAAGAACAGATACATCACAATTGCTTATTGGTATCCATTCGAACCATCCAACTCTGAAAGCAGATGAATATTTTAGCTACTTCATGTGGGAGCTTACAATTTTTCTTCATAGCCTGTTCTAAGTCCATACTGTCCCACAGCAAGACTGATCACGAGAGTGTCGTTTTCTCTGAATGCCCATACCACGTCACACTGACCACAATTCACAGACAGAAAATGAAATACAAAACAATGCCAAGTTTTATACAGTTCCTCTTAAGGTACGAAGTGTGTTTACAAAAGCCAGTACCACTGTGTCACAAAGCAATGAGTTATAAAAGATAGCTAGTTACAGTATCTGCTGAATGATCGCTTCTTCTAATATTGAGCGATTATGGGACAGGGAACATGGGGAATAGGTTTTAATTTGTATCTGTGACTTGTTCATTAAAGTAATTTCACAAAACACACTGCGCATCTATAGCTTTATATTTTAGCTCTCTTTGGAGCATTGGATACATCCACTGTTTCTTATGCAACAACAATTTCCTCTTTTTCAAATATTTGTAAGGAAACTCTTTTTTCTTCAAATTACTATTGGGTAGCAGTGCTTGTTCAGCAGATTTATCCCAATCACAATTTCTAACAAATCTGGACATCACAGATCATGAATTTTCTTGAAGATCTTTGAATCTTTGAACAACCCCTACCAATCTATGAATCTGTGAATCTGTGAATAGGAGACCTACTGGAGGAATTTCATGAACATACAGTTCAAAACGCTAAGTTACTTATTTCTCTCAACAATCAAATATACATTTATTTCAAGGTTTCCTCTTTCTCTGGTAATCACTTCAGCACCTGAAATGACATTCATTATTTCTGTAAGTTTCATTAATATTTTCAAAGCATCTTAACATTTCTGTAGAAACTTCTGTAGAGTCCAGTCAGTTGACCCAGACATGAAATAATTATTTGGATTAATATGTTGAAGAATATTTAACAGGAGACAGGAAGATAAACAGCAAGGTGATAAGCTTGAATTGTGTTTACGTTATTTTCGTAGAAGTGTATTGTGTCCTCTTTTTGAAACCTTTATATCATTATTTCTAGCTCATGGTGTGCCACAGCAGAAGTAATTCTTATTCACTGTTCTTGCACAATGCTACTCAGTCAAATAGGAGAGATGAAAATAGAAAGAATTTTCTTCTGACAGTTGCTATAACGATGCTGTTATTCTTTTAGCATGAATTGAACTTCAAATATTTTGAATGCTGCTGCTTCTCTTTGGAGGCCTATTGGTATAGTTTCATTTTAAATAGCATGGTATACATAAGAGTTTTAAAACACAGCATGTAGTAAAACTTTGATTTATTTTATGTGGGAAGAAAATTGCTTATTTTTTAAATGGTCCAAAATGCATGTGAAGACCTCAGTTGTGCGGTCTTTCTTTTTCTGTGCAGAGATACTTTTGTTTGTTGGAATATGTCCTACAACACATGTGGGCAATCATAAACCATTAGAAAATGTCTCTCTTCTCTTAAAGTGTGAAACAATCCACATGCCTGAAAAGCACTCCGGTCAGTCCACTTCATGGTAGAAATTAAATACTCTTTTCACAGCTGAGTCACCTCCCCCTTTTGGAGATTTACTGTTTCAAACAATGTTAGCATAGAAATCAGAGCTTGAGCCCTTTCGGGCATACTTTTGATTTCACAGCAGATATCATCTTACTGTAAACCATTTTCCAGAAAGGGAGGGAAAATATATATTCCTTCAGCAAGAACTTGCAATGTTTCAGGTGCTAGTGTTTGATTGCTTACAACTAACCAAATAAAGACTAGTTTATTTCCAATAGAGAACCCGTATCACATAAACATTAAACGCGTGAGCAGTGCCATTAACTCTCTGGGAGGCAGGTTGTCCCCGGGAGCAGCAGGCACGCTCCTTCGCCTGCGGCTCAGCCACTGCTTCATCACCGCATGTCGTTCCCTGCGGGATCCAAACGGGGCCAGGGCGTAAGAAAGGAATTGCCATTTCAAACTTGCAATTTCTTCATTTCTTATCAACATTGAAATAGGATTTGGGGGTTTGTATCTGGCAAATTGTTTGGGTTTTTACTGCAGGGTTTGGGGTTTTTTTAACATGATTTTTGTTTGCACGAAGCTTGTTGAGTATTTCCCCTCCTTTTCACACAGATCGAAAATTAGGTTTGTAATGCAACCTAAACCAGATTTGGGTTATTTAAAATACGAAAATGAATACATTCCCAGCAGCGCATAAATCTTACTCAACACTTTCCCTCTGTAAGGTGTAGAAACTTCCTAAAACCCCGATAGCCTTTCTGTATGAAAAAGAGGACAGAGCTCTAGATCAAAGCAGCATTTTTGTTATTAAATCTGTTCTCCCTGCTCCCAGAGCGTGGAAGGAGAGCACCATGAGAAGGCGGTGGAGCTGCTGAAGGCAGCGAAGGACAGCGTCAAGCTGGTGGTACGCTACACTCCCAAGGTACTGGAGGAGATGGAGGCTCGCTTCGAAAAACTGAGAACAGCCCGGCGCCGGCAACAGCAGCAATTGCTCATTCAGCAGCAGCAACAGCAGCAAACTACACAGCAAAACCATATGTCGTAGGTGAGAGGATTCATTGGTCTTCCCTAAAGCCCACTGATGGCACCCCG